GCCAGACAGCAATTCCCATGATCTCTCCTCATTAGCTATACTGCAGAGGCTGAGGGAAGCTGCAGTCCAAATAACATCTGGAAGACCAAATCCGCTGCCTTAGGGACCCAGGTGCTTCAAGGGAGAAGGTTTTCTTTCACATCACCACAAGCTCAGCCTTTGATGGTGACTGGACACAGAGGAGGCATACTCTCAACGATCAGGGTACTCGGGTAGCTTATGCATGAAGCACTAGCAGTTAGCCTGGCCAACTACAAATTTTTTTAGTAAGGATTGGGTGGAACAGGCTCAGTCAACATGATCTTCCGTGTACAGTCTTCTGGTCTTTTTCCGCCATTCCTTCCATGTGTGTGGTTTTTTTAAGTACCATAAAAAATCTGTTAAGCAAGAAAAGATGCTACACAATGGTTGTTGAGTGGTAGTACAGAGGGCTACCTATATGGAAACACCTTAGGTCCCATATATGTACAGAAATGATAGCCATCACCTTAAAGAAGGCTGGGAAACAGATTACAGGCAGTCTGGTTGGTACAGAGCACATCCTTGGACAACCTCAACTAAAAAAATCTCTTGCTGCTGAATTTTGTGTCAGCTTAGTTTTATATACTCTTTAAAGACAGAAGCACCATCTAGATAAAACTAGAGTAGCTAAAGATGTTTATTATGCAGTCTGGAATTGTTTTTTGACTACTGTACAACTCCGAGCATCCCCCAACTTCCAGCTGGAGGCCATTCCAACTGGGCCTTAAGTAAGACTTCTAAACAATGAGAATGTTGTCCAGAACTATTTTATATATCTGTATTCTGTAAATGCCATACTGGAATGATGCCAATAACAACAACTATAAACAACTGATATTCCAGAGCAACAATATGTCCAAACTCTTCCACTTTTACACACCAACTATTACAGAACTTCAGACTTTCCTCAACAGAAAAGACTCATGAACATGTCATAAACCTGCCCACCATTACAATAGTTAATGTGCAAGAACAGTAGGGGCCTCTTTTTTTTATTGGAAGCAAGATAGGATCTACAGCATGTTAACTGAAATCCTGTTGTGCAATTATGCAAATAGCATAACCTTTGGAAGCAAACTGCCCTACACTGAGAAACCTCCACAGACAATATCTGGTGCTTACTGAGTTGCCCGATATGGAATGCAACCCATGTTTGCAGAGATAAGTTATGGCAATTTGTCTCTAAAAGGTACATTGTTTGTGTAACTGCCCAACAGAATTTCAGTAAGCGCAAGACACCACACTGCTGAGAGGCAAGTGCTCTTTCAACACCACACCACCCTAGAGGACTGCATGACCTTTATGGGCCTGGTTGGGAATTAAGATCACCAGGGGAGACCTTTTTTTCAGTCCCACCACCTTCACAGACATGCTGAGTGGATACACAGGAGAGAGGCTTCTCTGGCGCTGTTCCCTGACTCTGGAACTCCCTTCCATGGGAAGCTGGGCTGGCCTAATCTCTGCTGTCCTTCCACAAGCAGGCAAAAAATTTTCTCTTCAGGAAGCCTTTTCCTTAGTGACTGGCAGTCTGTGGGGTTTTTTAAATTGATTGTTGTGCTCTGTTGTTTTAAAATGTGTTTAGCATTGATTTTACTGACCATTTTAAATATAGGAATCCTAAACACCACATAACACAGTGGTTCTGAGCTGTACTTGAGAGCATTTAAGCTTACTCATTACTCAAATATTTGCACTTTCCATTATCATTGCACTAATTTACTTCTGCATGCTTGTGTTAGCAGGTGCTCCGTATCTCGGATAATCCCAACTAAAACAGTGGGGTTATATCCTACTCTGTCATAATGGCTTACTGCTACTTAGAAGCCATTATTCAGGCTCTCAAAAGATAGAAAACGGAGAATACCAAAGCAATAGCTTTTATTGGATTAACTTCTGTCAATACAGGAGTGTGCAAACTTGATTTAACACAAGCCCATTCCGTGAACAGAGTTGACAGAATATGTGAAACAAACCCTTATACAATACTTGCACACTATTCATTAATGCATTCTTACAAAGCCTAACTAAATTATTACTTGTTCTCTGTAGCCCAAAATTAGCCTATCAGCAAAATGTTAGGGAAGAAAGAATTTTTTTATTGCCTGTGTGTGGAGGAGGAGTTTCAAAATGATAACTCTGGATTAGTTGTAAAGAAAAGAATCTTCACAGCAGGACAAGTTGAGCAATCTGAGTTACATTTTGGCTTTGATGTGTATATTTTGAAATTTTCATACAAGTTCTATATTTGAAAAAGAAATATTGGCAAACACCAGAGAGACAGGCAAAAGTCAATGCCATGTTCCCAACCCATAGCAAGATTTCAGCTCTTGGAAAATTTACTCTTTTGGACTACAACTCAAAGAACTACACAGCAGCATCGCCATCACTCATGCTAGCTCGACATACTTGGAATTGTAGTCCAAAAAGGATATTTTTCATGATCTTTGAGATTTCACTTCTTCTATGTGACAGAATGTTCACAGAACCTATATTTCTGAAATAGTGATGGGAGGTCTTGAGGGGAAAATTTATTAAACATATCTACTTTCTTCTTCAAGAATAAAGAGAGAGGGGCTCTGTGCAAAGCACAACTGATTTCACATGCCATGCTAAAGCTGCCACAAAGCAGGTTCCAAGAAACACAACATGAAAATCAGCCTGTAATAGCCTGAAATAGACAGTGATGTTACTTCATTTATACAGGAGGTTGGCATTAGCAACTGACATCTTCAGGCAACTGTCAAGGTCCCAGAATACTGACCTGGCCAACAACGCACATCTACCCTCAGCCCTTGTTAATAAAAACAAGGGCCAGCGCAACACTTCACTGAATATCAGGTGCCTGGATCTAGTGGCTGTTTCAGTTTCTCATACATTTGTGTATCTTCTGTATTTATACAGATGTATTAAAAAAGCCACAGCCCTGAATTTACAAGAGCTGAGAAGGGCTGTTGAGGAAAGGACATTTTGGAGATCACTCATTCATAGGATTGCCTATGGAGGCAACTTGACAGCATGGAACAAAAAATAAAGGCATCACAATTGCACATAACTCGATAGACTAGGAAGATATATTAAAATCAATATTGGCTCTTTGTCAGCCCAAAATCTAGGGGTAACTAACTGCCCCTCTGCTGCAGTCACAAAGCATCTATGATTAAAATGTAACATCAAAACAATAAGATCCCAAACCACATTTTTAAACAACAAACAGTAAACAGTTAGCTCTTCCTAACATGAAAGAACTTGGTAATCAAAACAGTGTTTACTGGGTGCTGAAAGGACCATCAAAGGCAACCACAGGACACCTTCTCATGTGATGTTATTATGTAACCAGAATGCCACTACCAAAAGTTCCCTTCCCCCTCATGGCTACCCACCTCATGCCATCTGACAGAAGCCTTATGGCACAGCAGCCTCTGATGGAGACTTTAAGGTTTGAGAGAAGGCCAGTGTTGCAGGCAATATGCTTGCATTACAAATTGGTCTCAGAAATAGCACAGGAGCTAATACAATGGACAAAGCATGAGAAAATAAATACATAAAGACTGTGTACAACATTCAGTAGGAGATCCCTTCTACTGTTTAATAGATGGCCAGTTATTTTCTGTGTTTAAGAGCAACACTATGCAGTACAGTAGGATGAAACGGATAATCTTGCCAAGAAATAAGAAAACAGCAAGACCATGGTGACACATAAAAGCATCTTAAAAGCATTTTGTTTGTACCTTCCAAGACAGCCTGCTACTGGCTTGCATCAAAATCTGAGTCGACCTTCTGGATATATAGCAATGGATAATCTTCAGCAGCCTTATCGTTACTAGGGATAATTAACTGAGAACCCAGAGTTTTGTTTGGATTAGTACAGCGGAAAGCAGCACATGGATCCCAGAAAAACGGGGAAAATTAGAAGAGGCGTGGAAGGGAAAGAGATGCGTGGAAGTTAACTTGATGTCTTGCTTTTCCAAGAAAGGTTCAAATTATGTCACCCATCCCTGCTGCTTTCTAAAGCGCTCAGGAGAAGAGCTTAGAAAAATTACTTCTTTGGACTACAACTCCCAAAATCCCCCAAGTAGCGGGGCCACTAGGATTTTGCGAGTCGTCAAAAAAGAGAGAGGTGACTTTCTTTCCTTCGTTAGGGCAACACGGAGTGTATTGTTTGTTCATTTAGTTCTAGTAAGTGCACGCCACGTTTTCCCTCGCAAGCAACGTCCCGCGCTCCCAGCCGGATTTTCCGAAGCGCCCTCGCGCCGCCCCACCTGGCCCAGGTTAAAAAGGCAGCCCGGAAACTGGCGCAGCCAAGCGGGAACTCTTGCCCAGGTCGGTCAGGAGTGAAGAGGCGAGCGCCGTGAGTTCAACCAAAATAAACACCAGCTATTAAATCTGTGACTC